GCTATGACAGGCAGTGGCACGAGCAGTTGGGTTCAGTTTCTAGAGTCAGACTCCTGATCTGCACTTTGTGACTTACAGATCATGTGAGCTACCTAACCCCTGAGGCTCAGTTTATTTGACAGGGACTGGGCCAGATGACTTAAGTTCTCATTTGTCCTTGGAGAAACTTCTGCTGATCCTGTTCTCTCTCCTCATGGGACTTCTAGGCAAGCTTTCCCAGGGGACTACTGGGAGCATGCAGGAGCCAGAGGTGGGGGAGAACCAGTTGCCTAAATTATCATTGAACCTCAACCTCCCCATCTGTGAAATGGGAGTAATTATAAACATCATACCGAGTTCTTGAAAGGCTTAATTAGGAAAATACATTCAGGATTTCTGTGTAACCTCTCATTTAACATATACACACATATACATAAATGACTAATTTCAATATCATCTTTATGATGGAGGAAAATCAATCTCTAATTTGAATTTCACCTTTAAGGTGCTATAACTTTTCTTGATATTAAAAAGATCCCACACTTCTTCTTTAGAAAGAAAGTCACTTTATGGAAGTCATAGTGTTTCTTGTATTATTAAGTATGTAACATATTATTAAACTACGGCTCTCCTCCCAGTTTCTAAAGCCAGAACAAAGCTATATAATTTAATGCTTTGCAGGGACAGAATAGATAGACCTGATTACTCAGGTTTTGTGGGTTCTGTGGTTCTTCCTGCCATCAGCCACATCACTGACTGCCATCTCTTGTCACCAAGCCTCATTTTCGTCATCTTCACAGTGGAGATCTCACACTTACAGGGAAGCGGCCGGGGAAGATGAGATAGGGCTCACTCCGTGAGTAATCTGAGCCCCAGCAGGGACAACGACTATTCCTTTCTCCCTTATGAGTTGGGTCCTTTGTAGACATGAATATGCTTTGAAAAATATTTCATGTAATTCTTGTCTCATGGCCTAGGGGCAGGTATATGGAGGTCCCAGTATCATTATCTCCATTTTTTTAAAATAGGAAATGGGGGGGGGCCAGTGTTCTGAGGTTGCTGATTTGGGGGTCAGGGAGCCCAGCATGTGCCCTGAGAAAGTAGGCTGAATCACAATTTCTGAGAGCCTGGAAGGGGATGGGCCAGAAAGCGAACCTTGGGGGTGATAATGTCTTTCCCTATATAATATGTAGCCAAAAATCACTGAGCAAAATGTATAAGCAGTATGGACAGTAAATACACCAAAAAAAAAAAAAAATTGTAAGATTCCCTACTCTGAATTTTGCAGTCTGTAAGTGCTCCATAGAAATATTTTCATTTTGTTTTTATAGAAATTATCACCTTTAACATACTAAAACACTGTCTAGAGCAGGGCAAAGATCTCAGTGCTTTGTTCACTGATGTACCCCAAGTGTCCAGCAAGTGCCAGACACGCATTAGGAGTCAGTGCTAGCCCAGGTGGGATGAGGGGGTTGTGATAATGATGCTGATTCTCAGCCTGGGAAACACCAGTCCTCAAACCCTCCAGGAAGAACAAAGCTATTACTGAGAAAATGAAAAAAAGAAAAAAGAGTTTTATTAACATAAGTGTTTTGGGCCAAATTGCGTTCCTGGAGGTTGCATTCCCAGTATCCTAGATGTGACTGCAATTTGGAAATAGGGTCTTCAAAGTGGTAAAATAGGTCCCTGGGGGGAGGGGTCCCTATCCAACGCCATTGGTTTCTTTACAAGACGAGAGTTCAGGACATAGACGCACAGGGCAGACGCTGAGGCAGAGGGAGGAGGTGGCATCTACAAGCAACGAGTAAGGCCTCAGGAGAGAGCCCCCTCTATATGCTGCTTTTGGGCATCCGGCCTCCACAATGCGGAGAAAAGGAATTTCTGTTGTTTATTTAGCCTGAGGTAGTGTGTGATGGTAGCTAGCATACTAATATATGAAATGAGTGAAGATAATTATTTTTGAATTTTCTTTTGTTACTTAGACTCATTCTCTCTTCTGGTTTTAAGTGTCCTGTGGTCTATGGAGCTCTCAGGCCAGGCCTGTCATTAGATTCCAATCCTCTGTCTTGGTGACCCACAGGGCATGGACTTATGACCCAGTGGGAATGAGACTTGGGTCCAGAGTACCCTGCAAGAGAAATGCCAGTGCCCTATTGCACCTTGGGGAAGAGTCTCTCCAAGAAACAGGAAAGCAGAGCCCAGTTACAGGGAGAGACAGCCTAGGGGAGGCAAACATGACTCTTACTCAGAGCCTCACCTTGCAGAGTTGGGGTAGCTCAGGAAGGTAAAATGAAGAGCTCTGAATTAGCTGAAGTTAAGCAGGTGACCCTCATGACCTCTGAAGTCTCTGCCTTCTATTAGCATTAGATAGTGCCACCATCACCAGCCCTTCAAATATTTGGTTTCTTTCCCTGCTTTTGTCTTTCCCAGTCACTTCTGATCAAGGGCCTGGGATGTAGTCCTCTAGGTAGCACAAAGGGTCTGAGAGCCTTCCATGCCAAGCCTGGCTGTCTTACTGGCCAGGGTCTTTTATTCCATGGTCATTTATTTCCCGGTTATTCAGCTCTGAACAGGGGGTGGTGTGAGGGGTTGGGGAGAGGGCAAAGAATGTGCTAGAAGAGGTTCTAAGGGATGTGAGATGAAAAGGGTAGGTGGATGGACGTGTGGAATACCTTTCCTGTCTGGGCGCTGCGTTAGAAGCAGGGCAAGGAGGGAGGACAGCAAAGACAGACAATGACACTCCACCAGTAGAACGCACCATCCTTAGCTAGACATGAAGCTGAGCTTGGGAAAGTAATCAACTCCTAGAGAACAGAAGTCAAGGTCAGACAACCAGAGGAGGGTTTGCAACTGACCCCGAAATAGTTAATTCTAGAACCAGCATATCCACTACAGTAAAAAACAGCAACACTTACTGTAGCTACTGTCAAGTAAAATGAATTCTATTTTTCCTTTCATGAGGTGGCTCTCAGTTATCCTTTCCTCCGGTCCCCCATCACCCAAACCAGACACCCAACGGGTTTGCCTCCGATAGCTGGCTGTGATTACTGTCCTAATTTGTTCTGTCTTCATCTGCTACAAACTGCCTATTTTCTGTCCCTTCTGATAAAGCAGGAAACCTGAGGGACTTCTGAAGCTGTTTTGTACCATGGAGAAGTGTATTAACTGGAACGCCTGTGTGTGTGTCTAAAAACCCCTCGTCTTCTCAGTGTGAGATCACCTTCAGGAACGGCATCATGTCGATGTGTAGCTTGCGCGTGTAAAATTCTTTTCTGTTTGAACATATCGGCCCGTTATTTATACAACTTTGAGGCTCTCCTGTCTTCTGAGCTGCTGCCTCCGAGGACTGCTGGGCGCTCTGTGAAGAGAAGCAGAAAGCTCAACTTTCACAGGAATGATATACAGCGCGACAAGAGTGAGTCCGTATTTCCAAATATTTATAAAAAGTAATTTTTCATCGCTGGAACACTAATAGTTACGCCTATTTTTATCGCTGAAAACCCAGGGGACTGAAATGTAAAGAGGATAAATCGGAGGCTGGGTATTAGCTCACTTCTGGGGGTGGTGTAATTGGGAAATGGGAAATGGGGCTTTACCACGCCCTGGGTTTCTAGTCCTTGTCTTTAGTCCTCACAGCAAACCTGAGAGGCAGGTGTTGTTATGCCCATTTCACAGATGAGGGGACTGAGCTTCTGGGAGATAAAGCCCTTGCCCAAAGCCTCACAGCTGATAAATGGAAGAACTGAAGTCATTTCCCGAAGCCTCCGTTCTAGGGATCTTGTTTACTTGTCTTTGTTTATTTCTTTTGGGGATCTCTTTGCTTATTTCTATTCTATGTCTCTTTCCTTCTTTCTACAAGACTCTTTTCTTTATCAAATCTCCCACAGCAAGTAAAGATATAGCAACAGCAATTTTCAGGCTTATTTTGAAGCTGAAAATATATTTGATGTGTTAGGAAGACTGGTGGGGACAAATCCCACATAGAGGGTAGGAAGGGTGGTCTAATGGTCTAAAGGAGGCCTTGGGGGAGGGGAGTGCTTTGATCTTGTGGGCCACGTTCTCTTGATACAGCAACACGTAAATGGTATCATGCTTCAGAACATGACAACGTTTGATCTGGACTTGCCTTCCAGCTGAAAGCTGGACCCTGCAACTTGGGGGGATCTTTCCAGGACCCTGGATCACATCACTCCTGGGTTTAAAGTCTTCAGAGCCTATTGTCCTCAGGGGTGAAGATCAACGTGCTTTAAAGGTTTACAAGACTCTTCCTGCTTGGTCCTGGATTATCTCTTGCCTCATTCAGTCATTCAACACATATTAATCGAGTGTCTTTTCTTTGCCAGGTAGAGTGGAAATGGCAGTGCTAGAAGCAGACAAAGTCTCCACATTTGTGAACACTACACATAATCCCAGGGAGAGAAAGGGGGTAATGAGCAGCAGGTGGATCAGAAGTTACGTCTGAAGGTGATTTGTGACTGTGGGGCTCAAAGAGAGGTGTCTACCTCATTCTGGGGCGGCAGGTGCAAAGAGAACACCACTACCATCAACACTGGCCTTTCAGTTCTAGAGCAAGACCTCCAAAGGGCCCTTCCCTCTCCTGGGAACAGACACCTCCCTTCTACATCCTCTTCACCCTTTCGGCCGACCTGTGTCTCCCGCGATTCTCTTAAGCACGAGCCACCTTTTCTCACAATGATGCTCATGCTTGTGAGCCTCCTCACAGACTCACAGCTAGACTGGAAGTGCCTCGAGGGCAGCCACCACAATTACTCTGTTCCCCTTGTTGCAGGTCTGGCAACACATATGCACTTGACACCCATTTGCTGATCTAGAGTGTTGACCACACCAGGGACAAGCTGCCATCCTGGTCATGGCCCACTCCAGTTCCCAGAGGGGGCAATGGAGATACTTTACAGGGCACAGGGGCACGTTCTCAGCATCATTCTGGCTCCTCATTCCAAGAAGAAAGTTACATGTTATTTTTCAGGGCTGAGTCTCTGGAGTTACATACATGAGTGTGGCATGAGATCACCCTGGGTGTGGATTTGATCATTTCCATATTTTCTAGGAGACTAACTGTTGAGCGTCTGTCTCTCTGGGCCATCATAGACTCCCCCTCCTGTGCCATTTAAATTGCTTCTAGGTAGCAATGACCAATTAACTTTCTGTGGGTCCCCTCAAGCCCTCATTCCGTGGGTGAATACTCACACCCTTTGTTCTTTGTTTTGAAATGTGGTCAGAGATTTTTCTTTCTTTCTTTTTTTTTTTGTGGTCAGAGGTTTTTCTAGACAAATACATACTCTAGTGTTTTTGTCACATCAGCCATATATCTGATTAGATTCTTGGAGTGAAACAGCCCTTCCCCACTTCTAGATCAAATGAAAGTATTTGGTCCAAGCTAGAATCAGACAAAGCATTTCAAGCTTTTCAGCTTCCAAAATTATGCATGAATCACCGGATGGGATAATAGAAATCAGAACAATTCTCATTTGAGGGAAATTGCTCCATTATCTCCCAGATCCTGTGTTAGGCTAGAGGACAAGAGGCATAGCCAAGACCAAACCCAGCGACTTAAATTATGTTAACTCCGAGTGTGGGTGTAGGGAGGCATTGCGAAAAGTAGCCCCAAATCACTTGGCCTGTAAATCTTGTGATAAAAGCAATTCTCTTGACTGGATGGTTCATTTCCCTAATGTATAAGGGTTATCAATTTGAGCTCGATGGAATGTTTTCAGAGAAGGTGCTATAGTCACAGGAATGTGAAATACTGTTTTTGCTTATTACATTCAAGGGTCCTAACAAATAAACGAGTGAAAGGAGGTTGGAGAGATAGGAGGAAAGAAAAGATTAAACACATAAAGAGGATTCTGGGAAGAATTGATAAGGGAAGAAAAAAGTCAGAAGGTTGAAACCAGGCAAGAGAGTCAGGCATTGGGGTGATTTCTCATTTATTCATTTTAAACTCATTTATTAAGTGATGTTGTATCCGTCAGACAAGCCAGCACGTAAAAAAGCAGGATGATTTTAGGTTAGTGATAAATCTATGAAGACCAGTGAAATGGTGACAGGATGGAGGTTTTGGGGAGGGCATGGCTGGCCTTGGGGTGATGGGGAAGACGTTTTGAAGAGGTGATATTTGAGCAGGGCTGGGTGACAAGAGGGAACCAGCTCTGGACGGAGCTATCTTTAGTAGTCGCAGCGGCCATATCTGATTATTAGGGAGGAAAATCAGGCAGGAGTTCTGTAAAAAGGAAAGTGGACTTCCCAGTTCCTCAGGACTTCCCCTATCCTGCTCAGCTTTCTGGGCTCCAGCCCTGACCCTATGAGATACCCCTCTACTTTCTGGGTGGTAAAGCCTCAGAATAGACATTACAGCTCTTGGATTATTTTGACAGCAAAGACAGCCGAATAAATGGTAAACAGCAGTCAAGGTCTCCAGTGATGTAGAGGGGAGAAGAAAACACAAGGCCGAGCAGGAGGAGAGGAGAATGGGGAAGAAGGTTGCAGAGACGCCTGAAGTGTGCTTGTTTCTCCTCTGTGCATGCCCCAGTGGAAATGATTACAAAACTGATGGAAGCATCAGGAAATCCAGACCTATCCTGTATGGCAAAGACTTTAATATTTTTACACTCTGCTAAAAACACCTGGAAGCCTTTCTCCTCAGTAAACGAAACAATAAAGATTAATGAGTTAATTTGGAAAAGCTGATTTGAATTGCACAGAAGGTGTTGCGTAAGTACTTGGCATTTAAAAAGTTATCTGACATTTAAAAGGAGATGACTGTTAATGAATTCAAGAGCTAATCTTACACTCTGACAGACTGAGCCATGGAAAATCCAGGATTATTATCTTGCTATAAACATGATGTGATTCACTTGAAAGCCAGAATAAAAGAGAGTGCTCAGCTGTATACAAATAGCCACACACAGACATCTATAATGTAGCAGACTTGGAGGATGGCTTTCCAACTACATAAATATCATTTCCGTTCTTATTCTTGGGTTACACTGTCTGGGCCACAAACTCCAGGAGAAGCCCCTTTCCCCTGACTTTGTCCTCCTTCCAGCTGGTGTGTTTTGAATGGACATTAGCACTAGTGCTGCAGCCCCAGGACAGAAAGGAGATTCTAAAGCGGACCAGCCTGGTCTCAAGCCCTGGGTCCCACACCAACGATAAGGATCGGTCCCGCAGGCCCTCCTCTTTACTTCTCCCACTCCTTTCTAATTGTGGTCCCCCAGCTCTGTTGCTGCGGTGTAATGGCTCCAAGAAGAGCTATTGTCCTTCATTAAGGAGCCTGCAACCCTCTCACTTGTCTAACTGCCTCCCACGCAGCTCACAACTTCATTCTGCCTGAGAGCAAGCTGCCAAGGCTCTCTGGGAACCTGTGGGCAGGCTGTGCTGGAGGAAGAAAACAGAAGGCAGGAGGGCCTTTGTAGCCAAGATCAGAACTGCGCTGGGGCGCACACCCCACCATTATCTTAATGCATGGAGAGTAGGGTCGGGAGGCCTTTGCTGAAACCCTTATGGGGTCTATCAAGTTGTCACATCAAACCTCTGTGCACACAGGACATTTGTCCCCTCCTGTGAGCAAACAAAAGGAAAGGAGTCAGCCTCTCCTTCGGACCACCAGGCCCCCCTCCTTGGCTGAGAGTCTGTGCCTCTCCTTCCCTGGTGGGGGTCTGGGAGGGGGCTCTAAATCCCAGTGGGGATGGAGAGATCTGAGAGGTTTTGTCACTGGGGGAAAGGGAAGGAGGGCTGGAATGCTTTGCTTCCCTCTCGCCCCCTGCTGGGTCGGCGAGGACCTGCATCCTGGAAGGGGCCAGGCCTGCTTGGAGCAGTGGGCTGAAGGGCCTGGCCTGGTCTCCTGTGTTAGGTCTCCTCAGGCCCTGCGATTTCTTGCCCATGACAGCCTTTGGAAGTGAAAGCAGCCAGCAGAAATGGGGAAGCAAGTAGTGAAGGAAGAAGCCAGGAAGAGGGTAAAAGCCGTCACTCAGGAGCAGGGCACACCAAGCCTCCCACCAGGTGTCCCAGTCAGTCTGAATACGGAATAATGGGTGGAAGCCAGGAGGGAGCGTGCCCCCTGCACCCAGGTATGCGGAGATCGTTTTATCAGTGTGAATGAAGAACAGTGGGTGGGAATCAGACAGGTGCCCCCAGGTCAGTTGTCCCAGGCCCAGGTGGCTTGAGCTCAGCTAGCAAACTGAATGAGAAACAACTGATGGGAGTCAGGGTGACCCCAACTCAATTATAAGTGGAATTTCGGGGCCCTCTCTGGTGGCACAGCACAACACTAAGAAGCTAAAGCCACTTCAGCATGAGTTTGAGTCCCCATCCCGGAGGTGATCCACATGGCTCAGC